GGGACCCTGTATAAAGGTCTCCAGGCGGACCAGGTGATCCAGAGTGGATCGAGTTTTCCTGAATCCTCACTGGAGACCACTCAGCGAGCCCGTCGTTTCCAGAAACCACATGAGTCGCCTGTGAATCATTTTTTCAATTAGTTTGCAGAGACAGTTCGTTAGTGCTATTGGTCTGTAATTGGATGCGTGTGTGTGGTCCTTGTTTGGTTTGGGTATTGGAATGACAGTGGCGAGACGCCAAGACTCCGGAAAGGAGTGCGACCGCCACATGTCGTTGTATATGTATAATAGGAGTGTGAGTGTTTCTGAGGGTAAGTGTCTAATGATTTGGTTGTGGATGTCATCCGATCCTGGGGCTGTATCGCCCAGGTCCGAGATGCACGATGTTAGTTCGTCTATTGTGAAGTCTGCGTTGTAGGTTTCAGTGTTGTTTGAGTGGAAGTTTAAGTGTTGTTTTTCTGTGTTAGTTTTGATGTTTTGAAAAGTGGTGTTGTAGTTTGCTTGGGATGAGTTTTTGGCGAGAGATGTAGCTATTGTGTTTGCGATGTCTACTTGTGTTTCAGCTGTTGTTCCATCCGACCTCTGGACATGCCGAATGGTGTCTGTGCGTCTACCTAAGAATTTTTTAGCAATTCTGAAAACTTGGTTGAGTGGTGTCTGGCTGTTGATTTTGGAGATGTATTTTTGGAATGATTGTCTTTTGCTCTCCCTGAGGCATCTACGTGCCACAGCTCGAGCCTTTAAATAATTTATCTTGTTTTCTATGGTGGTGTTGATGGCTTTTTGATACGCTGCCTTCTTTTTCTTTACTGCATCCTCACATTCCCAAGAGAACCAGATCTTGTTCCTCCGTGGTTTTGTTTTTGTTTTTGGTATGTGTTTGTGGCATATTTCTAAAAGCTTTTCGTGGAATTTATTGTAGTTGTGGTCGAAATTGGGATTAAGAATCTGGGAACATTGATTGGCAAACCCGTCCCAGTCTGCTTTTTTGAAGTTGAAGCGTTCTGGGATCGGGTCGTTTTGGAGGCTATTGTTTTTTAGGAGAATTGGGAAACGGTTCGTACGGTCATCCAGCACAGACCACTCAAGATCTGGGACTAGGTCAGGGGTACAAAAAGTGAGGTCAAGGGATGAAGTGCCATAAGTGGCTCTGTTTCTGTAAGTTGGGGATTTATCATTTAAGAGACAGACGTTATTTTGAAATAAAAAGTTTTCTATTATTTTTCCTTTCTGGTCGGTAGGTTTGTCTCCCAAAAGGGGGCTGTGGGCATTGAAATCACCTAGTAAAATAAAGGGCTTTGGGAGCTGAGACTTTAAGTCATTTAGTTGGGTTATTTTGAGGGGGTAATTTGGTGGGATGTAAACTGATCAGATCGTGATTGGTCTGTGCAGGGTGACCCGTACGGCAATAGCCTGGAGGGTCGTCTTAAGATGTACTTGTCTGTGGAGTGTGTGGTTGTCGGTGTAGATGGTGGTACCACCGGAAGCAATCTGGTTCTCCGTGTGAATGTGATGGTACGCAGTAAATCCTCTTAAGTCTATGGTTGAAGCCAGGGCGAATTTTGTTTCTTGAATACAGGCCACCCGTGGGCACAGTGTGGCCTGTAAATGTTGCAATTCTGCAATGGAAGGTCGGATTCCGCCGGCATTCCATTGCAGGACCGCCATTATGATTTTTTTTAGTTCTTGATTTGGAGCTCAAAGGCCCCCGGCTTCGAAGAAACACTCTGACTCCTCCTTGCGGGGGAGGCAGAGTGTTTTCTAGGTTGCCGTCCTGGATTGGACGGCGGTCTAGTGGGGGATTTGGAGGAGTGACAGACTCCGCCCTTCCCGGGGTCAGGCCGGGGAGGGGGGTCAGAGCTGTCTTCCTCCATAGGCAGGGGTTTGTCTGCTGGAGGGGTAGGGGGAGGTGGAGCAGACCGAGGGGGCTGGGAAGGGGGCGGAGGGGGCTGGGGGGAGGGGAGAAGGCCCACTTCACACTCCATCAGAGGAATGGGCTGTGAGGTGGAAGAAGAAGGAGAAGAAGAAGAAGAAATGATAGAAGAGGGGTGAGGGGGAGAAGAGGGGTGAGGGGGAGAAGAGGGGGCAGAGGAAGAGTCGAAGAGGGGACGGAGGAAGAGTCCTCCCCGTCCTCCCTGGGGGGTAGAACCCCATAGTGGTCAGAGAGTGGCACCTCAAAGGGGGTTGGCACAGAGACTTGCCTGTTGACCGCGGGCTTTGGGAGGTCGGCAGTAGAATTACTTGCCGACCTCGTGACCATCTGGGCTGCCTTTGAATACGACCGGCCAATGACTGGGGTTGTTATTGGGGGGCTGACAACCTTGCGGGCCTCCTGGAAGGAGCAGCCATTTCGCGCCTTGTATTCCTGGATGGCGCGTTCTTGGAGCCAAGTCGGGCACTCCTTGCTGAAAGCTGTGTGCTGGCCGTGGCAATTTGGGCAACAAGGACTAGCCTTGCATTCCTTCTCAGGATGCCCAGTCTTGCCACAACGAGGACACACGGCTGCGTGACGGCACCGTGACTGGCTATGGCCGAACTTCTGACACTTGAAACAGCGCAGAGGGTTCGGCACATAGGGTCGTACGTCGAGTACCAAGTAAGATGCCCGAACGGTGGCTGGAGGGCGACACGATTCGAATGTTAGGACAATCGTGTTCGTCTCGATAGTAGTCTCCCCCCGCCGAAGAGTAATCCGGCGGGCTTCGACCACTCCCTCACAGTGCTCCACAATCTCTTCCATGGAGCAGCCTTTCAGCTCATGGCTGCGGACCACGCCCTTCGAGCGGTTAAATTTTTGGTAGTGCTCTGACTTACATTGAATACCGCCGAAGGTCGTGGTATCCAGGAGTTTGGTCACTTCGTTCTCGGTTGTGCACTTGACAAGGAGTGCACCACAGGAAAGTTTCTGTACACATTTGGGAATGTATCCCAGAACTTTTCGTAGTGCATCTCCTGTCTTAACCCTTTCACCCTCAGACCTATCCCTTCCCAACAAGGCTGAAATTCTGGCAAAAGGGACCTAACTCCGCTTAGACTGCATGACTATATTATTTTTAAAAATCATTAAAAATCAGAGGATGAGTCTAAAATTACAGTTTAGGTGTCAGAGCACAGATAAATTAATAAACTACAAGAAAATGTATGGTTTTGTACGAAAAATCATTGTGTATTAGGTAAAAAAAAATTCTGAAGTGAAAAAAAAACACCAAAAGACACAACCCGCTTTTTTTGCCCGCAGAAGTTCATGATGTTTTACCCAGAACAGCCTTTTGCAAGGCCTAACCTGGCCCAAATTGCATCCTGTCACTGTCTCACTCCCTCTGCCTAGCTTTGTAAAGTTTCTGGTCTTTACACAGTAGTGGCATGACCCCTTTTTACCATGTATCCTGATCACAACATGCTCTAAAGGATTTGTTGTGACAGAGCCCACAGTCCCAGTGTTGCTCCTCCCTTTTTTACGTCGTAGTGCAGCAAGTATGTAGTACTAGATCTAGATCTAGCTAAAGTGCTGTGGGTGCTAGGCCTATCTTCTTCATCAGTCTTCTAAATCATCACCTCCAGCAACGATCTCACCATCAACATCACTATCATAGTTGTTCCCCTCCCCCTAGAGCCTAGATCTAGACCTGCGACATCGTGTTCTCTCTCCTACTATAGTTCTCGCTCTCTCTCTCTTTCACGACTGAGTGTCCGAGTGACTACTTGTACTACTAGCACTAGATCTAGCCCCTTGGTCGACGATATCGGCATTTAAATCCCAATTATAAGTGTCTCCATCGTATACAGTGCCTGTAGAGACGCAAAATTTCATCCACGAAGTTAGATTTAGGTCTCTAAAAAGCACGAAATTTAAAAAATCGCCGCTCTCGCGTGCTTCGATCGATTTTCACCAAATAAACACGACAGTAAAGGGCAACCACTCTAGATTCTCGCTATAAGCTCGGCAATCTCGTGCGACCTCGCAGGAAGCGAGAAAACGTAGAAACGAAAGTAGTGCAAACGGGTGAATCGAGTGGGCGTGTCGGCGCACATCGGCGACTACGGGGGTTAGCGATGACGGCGCACATCGGCGCCTCCGAGTGGCAAAAGGTTAAAGAGGTTGAGATCGGTAATTCTTCTCTGTGCGTCTTTTGTACTGGAGATGGCCACGTACAGTTGCCTCAGAAGCTCCTTGGGAGGAGGGAGGAAAGAGGCATCGGTAAAGGTCCTTTTACCATTTTTTGAGCTTTTGCTCGGCTTGGCGGCCGCACCCGCTTCCGCGAGCCGAGACTTCTTTATGTTGGGAGCTGGGGAAGGGTCTATTTTAGATTTGGATCCCATGAGAGTTTTCTATTTTATTCCACTCCGGGGCTCCCCGCCCGCCACGGAGCCCAACAAGGGGACACATTGCTCGGATGACCAGAGCTGTGCCAGGGTTACCCCGGAGCTATACTCTCAACGAGAAAGTACAAGACCCTCCCGTCAAGATTGACCCAGGGCTTGATGGGGTTTCAGCTCTCAACCGATTGAGTGGCATGGGCCGTGCCACCCTCCCGTCTAAGAGGAAAACCTGGGCCAAAGAGGTGTGTTGGTGAGGGACAGTCCGTGGACTGATCTCACCTCAACCGCCAGGTACCCAGTTTCCCTCCGCATGGGTCGCACCTCACGGTCAACGAGGAGCCCACTTTGTGGGATGGGTGACCTCTCTTTTTGCTGCACTTGAGGTCAGCAGTGGGAGAAAAGATAGAAGAAGAAAGAAAGAAGGAAGAAGAAGAGAAAGATACACCAAAGTGAGTGTCACACACGGATCCCAGAGGGTTGGGGTCCTTGTGCGACACTCCGCCTTTGAAGGGGTTGCACCTTCTGCAGACGAAGCAGTGGGTCTATTTATATCCCCCCGACCCACTGGGGGTGGAAGCGGTTTAGAAAGTGAACGAATAGACATACCACTACAAACAGGGATTAAGAACAAACAACGATTTACTACCTCTTTGCAATCCAAAGCTATGCTGAAAACCTACCTGAAGTCATTGAAGAAATGATGCATCGTGCCATTCTGTCTTCCGCAAGTGAGATGGAATGCTTTTTTACAAGTTTTGACGCAGCAACCTATTGTAGCTCCCTTTGATTTACAAAAACAACATTTCTGAAAACATGAAAGAAGAAAGAAAGGATTTTTATTCTTGAACACACAGATCCTGAATTAACACTTACAGTACTGAAGGCTCATATCGTGAAAAACCCTTGGGTACCGCACCAGTTTAGAACGCTGAACTCATGGTAGAGGTTTTTTTAATGAGAAAAAGCTTGACAACGCAAGAAACGCGATTTAAAAATTCAGAGAGCTTCATCAACAATTCAGCTATCATATAGAGTGACTTCCTGGTTTTTATTTCAGTGCAGTGCGTCCCTTCATTGTTTAATTATTTAATTATGTTTGTTGTGCCAGGTTGCCAGGGGTAGTGAGCGCATACTATGGCAAAGTCACCAACGATACTGTAAGTGTTAACTGAAAAGCAAACTGCCAGGTGTAAAAAAAAACAAACTAAAAAGCAATAACTTGACAATCTTTGCACCAATTTCAACAACAAAAGTTTTTTTTATCAACTAAGGGGATGTCATATTCGCAAATATGAAGAAAATCAACCAACATTTTCATTAAATATTAAGTTCTGAACATTACACATACAAAATTGAGTAGAACGGAAAACTTTAAGACTTCCCTACTTCTAAAAAAGGAACCTGTAGTATATAATTATATGAACATTAAAGAAAAAAAATGGCTTTTTATCTCCTGTCTAATTTTTCACTAATGGAAAAATACAGGGGGGTGGGAAGTGGTTGGGTTTTTAAAGCGTTTGTCTTGGACAAGTGGTCTTTACAGCAGTTTTGATGTGTACTTCAAACAAAAGACATCCAGCACTTGGATCACCTCTATAAACACACTGTGTGTTAGTCTGAGAGGGGCTGGACTATATTCCAGCACAAACAAATGTACGAGTAAATAAAACTATGACTAGCCTCTTACAACTACTGAATTAAAAAGATAAAGCATAATGGTAATTACTCAATGGTCAAAGCATTCCAAAAGGTTACAACAGTACTGTTTTAACTTTTCAGGAAATAATGTTTAGAATAATGTATTTCACATTTGAAAATAACTCTCCAACACTTAATTTAATTAATTTAAAACTGAGCTGAAAAGATTACATACCAGCCTCCTGCCTCTTAAAGCTTCTTTTCTGATGTCTGATAATGTAAATCCCAGAATGCTTTTTTTGTCAGATACTCTTGTATTCTGAGTCAGTCCACTGGACAACAACTGAGAAAAAAAATCCAACAAGAAATCAATTATCACAACTGACATGTAAAACATCAGAGACATTAATAAACATTACAACAAAACATATCACTTTTATAGCTGTAGAAAAGCAAACTGTCATAGCAGCTCCATTAAATTAGGCACATTTGACCTTTTTAAACTCCCCTTTTGGGACTGACAGACAACTGACCAGGTTAATTACACACTGAGACACTGATTTTAACAGGAAGCATATTTTTTAACTAGACAGTTGTGTTCTTTCCTTGTTTCCATTTCTAGACAGAAGAAAAACCTGCAAACCACAAATTCTTCCTTTCTGATTTCACATAACCGTCAGTAAATGGAAAAAATTATATTTAGTACAAATACGATTCATTTTTAGAGCATCAAATGCTGCAAACTGATACTCCTAAACTGTTCATTTCATTCGATATTTTAAAACGAAATGTACTTTTTTTTTTTCACTGGTTCATCCAAAATCGGGTTAAAAGGTGTTTGTCAAAAAGTTTAGAATGAACTGCTGATATAAAAGTCAAAAAGTCTAAATCTTACTGCCATAGAGGTGAATTTTGTGTCTTTTTAGTTTTAAAGAGAGCTTCACAGCACTTGCAACACATTAATGTAATAAAAAATGCCGAAGATTAGACATGTTACAAGAGTAACAAATACAAAAAAGGAGGAGAGATCAGGACGATAGTTGTTCGATAGGAAAGAAGGAGCAAACCACACCAGAGCACCCGCAAACCACCCAGGAATCTTATGTCTATCTGTAATATATACACCACAGTACAATCAAAACCTTCATTTCCAATTGAATCCATTTTTTAAACTCTTAAAGTATTTTAAAAATTCTTATTATGAAAAACATAAAGAATTCTTTAAAAAGTAATTAAACATGACTCTACTACACAGTTATTACTGAAATCTTTTAGCTTCTCACCATACAAAAATAATGCACAGTCACATCAACTTTCTCGTGTATTTTCCCGAGATCAATCTCGTCAACAGATGCGCTCCGACAGAACAGACACACTGGAAAAAAAAAAAAATTAGATATATATATTTGAAACAGCAGGAATGGGTACATTAATGACATAAGTAGCTACTCTTGGTATTAAGCAGTAGGGGTCTACTGTTGAAAACTGAAGATTGTACTAAGGTACAGGGGTGCTCTCGCAAACATGGGCATACGTGAAAACATATTAGTTTACTCTTACTGTATTCTATGCAGTAGAGAACAATACTATCCAAGTTGGCAAGCGCTGGAATTTATAAGGGAGTACCAAACCTATTTGATGTGGGTGCAGTAAAATGAGGAACAGGTAGGGGTGAAAGGTTAAAGTACCCTGAAGGTATGGTTCAGCAAAAAAGTTAGAACTCAAAAAAGAGGGGTAATCCTGCATAATCCCATAGTAAGAAAGATTTTGTCTCAAAAGTACAGTAGAACACGGCAATAGCGAGATTTTTGGCTCCAGAAGAAGGTAGGAAGGCAAAGGGAAAATTACCGGAAAAATTCTAAAAATCCGCACGATTACACCCCTTTAATTTAAAAAAAATTTGCGCTTTTGGATTAGTTTTCCTTTCATTGACAACTTCGTTGATTATCTCCGCCTTTTATAATTCGAGTGAGAAGCATATCCTTTAGTCTTGGTTGGAAGCCATCCTTTCCTTGGTTTGTTGCCTGTGCTGTCTATCGTTCCAGTAGGCCTACAGTGGTGAAGAGGATGCGTACGTATGCCTGAGCATCAACGATCGAAATTCAATGAATCAGGAATAACACGCTCTCCTCTTTCTTTTACTTTTTGGCCTAGCCAAGGGCTATAGACTATACACGCTCTTATATCAGTACTGAGTGTCTAGGCTATGGCACATCATTTTAAATTTTGGAGTGGCTCACGTAACATGTCTCTCCACACCATCTCTCTCTGCCGCCTTTCCCACCTCACTCATCATTGGACTGGTCAATCACAACACCGCACTGCTGACTGCCTGTTTGGATCCCGCTTATAGCCCCCCCCCCCCCCTTCTCCACAGCTAGAGTTCGCTCGATCTCTTCGGCTGTACCCAAGTTCGAGACTTTCCTTGCCTCGCTATATCCAAGCATGAGTAATTGAGTTTACATTGGAAAAAAGAGGGGGATTCCAGTGAGGTCCGGCCACAGCGGGTGCCGCTATAGTCATGTTCTACTGTACTTCTTTGAATGGTTAACTCACCTCTGTTACTTTGACTGTGACACGGGGACGTCATTTCTCAAGCAAACTTATTCCCTCGTCCAACGATTCAAAAGCTGAAAGAAAGTACAGTACAGTATAAATAATAATCGCTTGTAACCGAGGCATACGTCTCAATCAAAACATGTCAAGTTGGTAGAAGGGTTGGGTCGGGCTCGCAAAATTAGCGTCGGCGAGTAACGAACTACTCGTTGGCACTACCTGCAAACGAGCGGACGGGTAACGAACCGTCCGTTTGTAAAAAGTAGTTTGCTACTCGCTATACATCTGACAGAGACAACAGTTCGTTTAGCGAGCGAGCGGACGGGCGGACCGAGAGACTCCATGCATTCGAGCGGGCGGACGGGAACCACTCCTTCCATTGCCTACAACTTACAACACCCCGCCCCCCTCCCCCAAAAAAAATTAATTAAAAAGTCACCCTCCTGCCTCACATTGTAGCTAGGCGTTCATGGCGGATAATTGGAACGTACACAGTGTGCCCCACGCACGAGGTGAAAGGTTACACATAGTAAAACGTCACCAGCCTCTCTCACTCCCTGTGGCACCGCTAGTGGTTTGAAACATCAGGCCTAATTAACAAACAATAGACAACGGGTCTAAATTCGCGTCGAGTTTCTCGTCTGCTAGAGTTCGTCCGTTCGCCCGCCCGCCCAGCACAGACGCAGGACAAGAGCTAAAATCCTTCTCAAGAGTCAAGTTCATGTATACAAATAAAATCCCTCCACGCCCCCCGCCTCATTCACACCTTATACACACACACACATACAATACACACGCGCGCACACTCCCTTACACACACACGCGCGTGCCACTAAATTCGCAAATTAACAAATCTCGAGAACGGAAACCGTTCGGAGAAATAGATCTAGAGTTCAAGTTTATTTTCCCGAGCATTCGGAGAAATAGAGCCTGCCAATTTTTTTAGTGTAAGGGGACCGTGTTCCCAAGGGCTCTAGATCTAGATCTGTTTGTGTGTGTGTGTGTGTGTTGTTGTTTTTTTAACAGGGGGGGGGGGGAGGGGGGGGAGAGCAAAGATACAGATGTATAGATCTAAATTACGTGAAGTAAGATGAAGCTGTACCAGGGCTCCCCTTTACGCACAAATGGGCCTATATTACGTATTAAACCTGCAGATTACCCCCTTAAAGTTTTGGTGGTGCGTGAGCTTTACTATCTATAATTTCATTTCGGGGGTTTGCATACTCTTTTAAAACTCGGCGGTCTGCGTCTGGCAAACATCATTTTCCCTCTTCTCTATCCCAAAGCCGAGTCAATGATTTGACCACACACCCACACACATGCACGACAGCAGTCACCCTCAGTCTCAGAAGAAGTCGACTAGTCGACCTACATATCGGCTGGCTTCAGCACAGAAGCTCCGCCCACATTCTGGTCGGTCGCTCACATTTGCCGGTGTCGTGCCTTGAATTTACCCCTGCCTTGAGATTACCACCATCCTTCTTTAATACGCTAGTAAACATGAATTGTCCGCCATCGAAAGTCTGGAAAGACTGGAATGTGAACCCTGGGATGGCGTTGAAGAATAATGAATCAATATTCCAAACCTGCCACTCATCCCTGTCTTAAATCTCAAGCATCCAGATTTTCCCGATTTTGATCAGACGTACCCGGGTTTTTTAAAAAAAATAATTGTTTTTTGTTGTTCCGTCTGTGGCGCAGAATTTTTCCAATATCTTACTCTGCCTTCTTTTCTGTCAGGGGAAGCACTCGTTAAACTTTATGTCAGCAGAAACTCGGAGCACTATTTTCCTAAATGTCGCTATGTTGAATTTAGTAGTTGACTCACCAAAAGTGGTGTTGGATCTTTGCTCACACTTGTTATTTCAATTATAATGGAAGTAGTATTGATTTTGCCGTCCGACTTAAAACATTCTCAAGATCTACTTTCGCCAAAACATACTTTGTCCGAGTTCCAGTTAGTCGAGCCCATCATCAAGACCGTCAGTAAAACTGTTTCAATCGCGCGATCGCACCACGTGACTTGACTTAGGCGTGTGAGTTCTGCGTGTTGCGGGGACCGTCTGTTGACGGGTTCAATTTAAGTTCATGTGCATTGGTTGAAGGGTCTTTCGGTACTTATCCAAGTAAAACACATGGACTAGAAGAGCTTGACATGATACTTCAGGATTTAAAATATAATTTTATAAAACACACACAGGCACGCGCGCGCACACACACATACTCCACACACACGCACGCGCGCAGTGGGAAAAATATACATGGATATAATAATGGACACCCCTGGAATTTTTTTAAGTAAGCTTGGCAGTGACCTAGGTGATTTGTCGTTGATCCCGATTTTTTTCACCAAGTCCCAATTTTTTCCCCACTGAGATCCTGACTTTTAGATTTCATAGAAGAGTGGCAGGTCTATTTTTCTTGGTGTATTACAGTCGGAATTGACCCCTTTTGGTTTGTCAACTTTATTTTATTTTGATAGGCCCAACTGCTCAACCACCACCACTCTTCCCCCCTCCATATGGACACAGCTCTAATTCCAGTCAATATTACTCATTTATTTCTGAACCCTATCCGTACGTCGTGTTTTACTATTGTATCCATACGACGTGGGGAACCCTGTGCCACTACTTCCCAAAGAGGAAATTTATTCGTTAATCCGATCCGTACGCTTTTGCATAGCAGTCGGTCAAAATTTTTTAAGAAGTACTGAAAGTTTCAAAGAGATCTTCGTACTACAAGTATTCAAAAATGTGAAGAATACAACCCTGGGGGTACAAAATGACCCCAGGGCGTACGGATAGGGTTAAGTTAATTAAAAATCGTTAGCATTCAATCATAGTCATGGTCACTCTGTGTGTGTCAGTGTGAATATGTGCGTGTTCAACATCAGGCGCTTCCAGGCCGTTACACCAAGGTGAAAGAAACAGTCATCAGGGAACTTCTCTTCGCCGATGACTGTGCACTCAACGCTAGCACAGAAGAGTGTATGCAAAACGAAATTAACTGTTTCACCTTAGCCTGTGTACAACTTCGGCCTCACCATCAACACCAAGAAAACCGAAGTCTTGTACCAACCAGCCCCTGGTCAACCATACACAGTGCCACAAATCATGGTGAAGGGACAGAAACTCCAGGCAGCTGACCACTTTACATACCTAGGCAGCACACTTTCACGAGCCGTTCATATAGATGCTGAAATAAACACCAGAGTTGCCAAGGCCAGCGCCGCCTTTGGAAGACTTCGCAAGAATGTCTGGGAGCGCAGAGGACTCAGCCTCTCCACAAAACTGAAGGTCTACCGGGCAGTGGTTCTTACCATTCTTTTCTACGCCAGCGAGACCTGGACTGTCTACAGCAGACACGCCAAGCATAGCAATGACCACGAAAATCCTTTTTTTGCCATAAAGTGTTTGCAAATAGGTGCATTTTGTAGCTTTATCTTCACAGAGCATGGAACTTTTTGAATTTTTGAAATCCATCAATAAAAAAGTTACGGATTTTTTAATCAATCAATTTCTGGTACACTTTTATATATATATATAATTAAAAAACCCCAAAATATGGGACGTTCTTTGGTGTGTTTTGAGACAATATTCGTCATAACCTGCTCATTTCTCGGAGTATTAAAAAGAAACTTGGCAACAAAGTACATTTTCTAGTGCAGAATCTAGTCCTGCTTTCAGATTTTTCATAGCTATCCTATTCTTTGAGTTATGAAGACGTTTATGGGTAAAAATGTGGCCGTTTTCAGTGCGTTTTGAGGCAAAATTTGTCATAGCTCGCCTATTTCTTGGAACATGTAAATGAAACTTGGCAGTCTAGTACATTTTTTAATGCAGAATCTAGTCATGCAGTCAGATTTTTAATATCTGTCATACTTTTTGAGTTGTAAAGACATTAGCAGGTAAAAAAGTGGCGTTCTTTACAGATTTACAAAGATTATCAGTCATATGTTCTCCCAAAGTCATGATATTTGAATGAAACTTGGCAACATAAAAGGTTCCTCCTTGCCAAGCAATGCTCTGGATCAATAATGTTTGTCACAAAAAAGTAAGTAGAGAGCTACTAATAAATCCAGTTCTGTACTAGTAAAAGCATGCATACTTTGTTATAGACAATACGATCGTCTCTGTGTATATATATCCATTGTTAGACAGTGTCCTATTGTGTGGTAGATTAAGATGCGTTCAGATTTATAGTTTACACGTCATGGGAATATTTCGCAAGTGTAGGCTACAACTCATACAATAAATGTAACATATTTACACCCCCCCCCCCCCTTCTCTCTCTCTCTCACTCTCTCTCTCGCGCGCGCGCACACACACACACATGCACGCGCGCGCACTCACGCATGCACGTGTGAACGATAACAATGTATAAACGGGACTATCTTCCCAGACTGGACTAAATAAGTACCATACTCTTTAATAACAATCTTAATGCCTCACTTTTTCAAACAGAGCACAGAGGACGAGTCCAAGTGTGTGCTTTCCCCAGAGGGGGGAATAGGCTTTCATAACGCAAACACAATGCCATACATACCACTTCTCAAGATGTTTGCTTTTCTATTTCTATTCTTCTGTCATGCAATCAAGCAAATAAAAATGACTACATCTATTGTATTGTGACTAAAATGCAACAAAAACGCAAGTTATCAAGGCCCCCATTTAGTTTTCAAGTATCCTTCCCCACCTTTCCATTTCACATAAAGCGGGGCCTCGTTTGTAGCGCCCGAGGCGACCGATGGCTGATGATGTCACTCAGTGGAAATTTCCAGGCCGTCGGCCGTTCACCCAGCACGCGCAAATGGCTATGTCGCTTTTTCCCTTAGTTACTCCCACATTTTTAAAGATTACGCCAAAACCGCTAAACACAGAAGCATGAAATTTTATGGGAATAAAGAAAAATGGTGTACAACGTATCAGTCAGTTTGACAAATCACAGCTCCGAAAAACCTTCAAAGCGCACCACATCAACCACTTTCGCAAACATTTTCGACTGCTTCTAGTATGGGTACAATGTTGTCAAACTGCAAACTACGAGATTGACCTCTTTTCTGATTGGCTGCCAAGTTTCATTCATATCCATCCACGAGAAGCGGCGTGAGAGCGAGTTGAAGACAACAACCTTTGCGTTAGTGCGTCCCACGAAACACCCCCGTTGAGGGGGGCCAAAAATCGGCAGAACAAAACGCGCTCGGTGGGCATTGCTACCAAGCAGCTCAACCTGTTCCACCTGAGCTGTCTTCGTTAAATCCTCCGCATCCGATGGCAGGACAAAGCCCCAGACACTGCTGTTTTAGAGCGAGCCGGAAAACCCAGCATCTATACCATCCTTCACAAAACGCGAGCCAGATGGGCCAGCCACGTGATCAGAATGGCGGACAGCAGGTTGCCCAAACAGCTGATGTATGGAGAGCTGCTTCATGGCAAGCGCTCAGTTGGGGGGCAGAAAAAACGTTTCAAGGACTGCCTCAAAGTCTCCCTCAAGGAACTTGGAATCCTGAACGACTCGTGGGAAACGCTGGCCCAAGATCGTCCAACGTGGCGCTGCAAGCTAACGAAGGGAGCCAAAGCAGCAGAGGCCAAGCGAATCGCCGAGGCTAAACAAAAATGCAACGTGCGCAAGTCCAGACCTCTGCCTCCACCACAAGTCAAACAGCAGACTACCCGTGCCCACAATGTGGGCGAACCTTTCGAGCCCGGATAGGACTTCAGCCATCTCCGGACTCACAGTAACCGTCAACAGACCAATTTGTGAAGTCATGGTCATCTTCAAATGCGAAGGACGAACAACATGTGCGTGTGAGTTAAATGTTTACAAATTAACCATGCAGTTGCGAGCACCGTAAAACCCCATACTATACTAAATGTTTACAAGCAAAAAATCTTATATATACTATAAAATAATGAGATATTGACTTTTGGCCACCTCTATTCTCACCCGGAGTGAGAATAGTGCAGGCGAGTGTTGTGGCTATTCTCACCCAGTGCGCGTTCACCAAATTTTGCGTTCACCCTAAACCACAGAATTCTACACTGTGATAACAGAAAAATTGTAGAATTCTGTGCCGTGAACAAACGTTCCATTACAACTGTAGCCTACTAAAAGCGTACAATTTTGTCTGTGGGCAGTGGAGAGAGAGAGAGAAAGAGAGAGAGGAGTAGTGCGAGAATTACCGGGCAAAACAAAATGGCGACCCGCGTAGTTCGGCTCGATTCGAAAAGTTAAATAGCCGTAGCATCTTTGTAGACAACCAAATAATTTACTTTTGTGTTTTAACATCATATTTTAACTTTGTTTTGGTCAATTTGATCGTCCACACCGATAGACAGTATTCAGAAAGAGACAGTGGTAGAGAGAAGAGGGGAGGAGTTGATCTTGCGAGAACTTCCGGGCGGGTGAGAATAGCCACTTTCTTGACTTTTACTACCCTTAAGTTTCTAAAACAAGGGTTTAAATACCCCTTCAAATAGTATCGAATAGTAAACCAAAGGGTGAAGGAACCTTTTAAGTTGGCCTGAAAAGGGGAGCCCTGTATACTGTACTGTGTAAGTGTAAAAATGCGTCTCGTCTCTGCTGTGTTGCCTTCTGCCTTCGCCTTCTCTTGATGAGTGTGTGTGGGAGGGTGGGATAGATCTGTTTTCTAGATAGAATCTATCTAGATCTAGATCTAGATGGCAGCAGAGATAGCCTAGATTTGTCATTTTGGCGTCATTTTAGTTTTGTATTGTTATAGGGGCCTAGTGATCAATAATCATATAATGTTTGTCATTGATTGGGTCCTCCTGTCCAGTGCTGTGACTGGTAGCGGTGGAGTAACTAACACTAACACTAACAACACACTCCGAACAGAGATTGTAAATTCATAAAATATAATCTACGAGAAATAAGTGCAATTGATTTACGAACCGTTTTTAGTCTCACGTCCGACACATCTTGTCGCTTTAACTAAAATCTTTTGCAAACGTTAGGGCTATAAGTCCATACATCAATTGTAGACCCATTCATGCAACGCAACAACAACATCAAGCGATTTCAAACAGGCGGCGAAATTCAGCCATTTTGATCACGTGACAAGATTCAAGATTGCCTTATTGGCTAGATGGCGAGTGTATCGACATTGGCCCTAAGCCTAGGCTAGATCTAGATCTAGAATGGTCTAGCCTACATCGTGAAATTATTTAATTTCATTTGAGAACGTTCAGCTCAAAAGACTGAACAGAAGCAAGTCGTAATAAGAATGAATTTTTTTTTCAAATCCAGACCAAAAAAACGCACAAAGTTAATTTCATGGAAGAAAAGCACTGGTACAGTATTTGACTTGATCTAGCAGATATACCCATCTTCCTGACTGCCTGGTCAAAAGATCTACTTCGTGCAGCATGCGTGCCCACAACACATGGGCCAATACGTAGGCCTAGGCTAGGCAGGTCTCGGTCTTGGTGGACTCCAGCCAAGGGAAGGGGGTTGTGGTGTGGAGGTGCAAGCCAAGGACCTTAAAACAGGCTACGACAAAATATCGAATTTGACAATGATTGCACGATTCAATGGGAGTGCCACTGCTAGCTTTCATGTGTTATGGTGAACATACAGGACTATAATAGATCTACGTTGTCTTAGGTCAAGAAAGCATAGGTAAAAGGCCTTCACACAAGAACATTATAGAGCAAAAGAGAATCAAAATCAGCTTTAACTGATTGCTAACAATGATGCATTTGTTAATGAATTATTGAGCACAGTAATTTTGTTTCCTTTTTTTAACGAGTGCAACCCCCCCCCTAAATGATCTTAACTATTGATAAGGTAATAGTTACAGTGTCCTTTGTCTTTTAAAATAGGATAAAAATTTACAAACTGTATAGATCTAGATGCACAAATACTGTAGTCTTAATTGTTAGCTTGCGTTGTTGGGTTCCTTAGCCTATTATAATACATGTAATAATTTTTAAAGCGTAATCTCACTCATTGCTCACCCTCTTTACCTGTCAATTATTGCTTGCCTTCATCTCTGACCGAAATCACCGCTCATATTCGGGTCGTAACGCATCATTGGGTTGTAAACGCACCAATTACATCGAAGAATGAAAGGCTGGCTCAACATTACACAACTTAGGCATCGGACAGTCCCAGAGTACCGGCGCAAAGTCTGTCTAGCAAATTCGGATGCACACCTGATAGAGATGGTCAGGGGGAAAAAAGCACCGATGAAATCGCTGTTCGGTGTGATCCCATAATTAATATCTGATGCGGCCTTGTTGGCCCTGCCTACCGAATCACGCCTTGATGTTCGGAAAAATCAAAGGCGTCGATAAGTTCACGCCTGGACTGGGTGTGATCCTTTCATTAGATCTATGTCGTGGTCCCTGCGCCTGAGGCGAACATTGTACCACTCGTCGAAAAATTTAGAGCGGAGATGTGATCGTATGTTATGAGTGTGGATTATCCATGAAAGTTCTTTTTGTTCAGTAAAACATTATCTAAAATGCTTCAGACTCCAGAATGGGATATTAAATTAGTGGTGACTTTTCTGTAACAAAATTTGTTGTTTTATCGGGACTGTTTCTTTTATTTTTTCTTCAAGTGAATCGGGATCATAAACGGTGGGATCTCAGGGGGAGACTACTATGATAGATAAAACCGGGTACAGTACTATTAAAGGAGACTCAAACTCTTTCCACCTAACCCCCTTCCTTCATCTTTCTTGAACATAAGTCATTCGCCGTTTTTGTTAAGCAGGTACTGGATTTCTATTTTAAATATGGAGCCGCTTGGACATCCATATTTTGGCATTAGTGATAGTAATGAGATAAATCGGTTTTAAAACATTTAAAAAATAAGTCTACTGACTTTCCTAGTCTCAAGGACCTCAGAATAAAACCCCTCTATCTAAATTTCAGAGCGATAGTCGGGCAGCGCGCAGCGCAGGTAGACCATAGTTCCGCTGCGAGAGAAGGCTTCTATCAGGCGTGCGTTGCCGTCCACAGAGCAGCCTCCATTACTGTATAACGACCTTGGTGTAAGCCTACCTAGGGCCTTGGCTTAAAGGGAAATTATTCCATCCAGTTAGTAAACCCCTGCAAAACCCCCTCCCCGCCCTTCTCCCTTTTTAA